TTCTATCAAATGAAAATTAATATGCAAGTTAAAATGCACCTAATAAAAAATATTAAAAGTTAAAGTCACTTTTATTATCTTTATCAAATGCACCAATTTATGATTTTCCAATGCTTTAAATATTCCCACAAGAAGAAAACAGATAAAACAAATTAACCCCGGAAATATTGTACCCAATCCAAAATAATAATTTTTATTTGCTCCAAAAATTTTTTAACTCAATACGGCCCATCCCAACCCCCTAAAAACACTTAAAATCTAATAAAAATTCATTTACTCGAAAACTAAAATAATGGAAAACACAACAAACTGTCGATAAATAAATAATTATCACATCCTTTTGATAATAATGGTATTTATACATAACTTTTCACAGGAACATGCTATGAGAGGACGGTTGATATGTTACAGAGAGAAATTCAGTAGAGGTAAAGGTTAATCACAATATATCGGTAACGAATGAGTGAAAAACGTTTAGCCCGTTTATGGACAGTATTTAAACAGAACCGCACACAAAAATATCATAACTTTTGTTACTGTAGTGCTAATATTGATTCAATATAAAATATTCAATTTAAATCATTGAATTTTGACAGTAAAGTGTTGATACTTGTCTATGGAGAAGCAGCAGGCGGCAACTTCACAGAATACACTTGGAAATTGCACTGAAAAGCCCGGAGTAGGTTATATTGGTTGGGTTTATACGAAACGGGGTGCCCCATACTATAACATTCTGATCTTAATTTTACTGTAAACGCCGTTAATGTCCATGAACGAATTAGTAAATATTTATATTGAAATTATGTATTAAAAAGAAAAACACACATAATTAAGTAAAAATACGCTATGGCGGCCTGTTGGCAACGACTGACAAAAGTTTCAATTATTCGTCGCTGTCAGCGAACCACTGCTCCAGCCAGTTGCAAACAAACATCCCGTGACCTGATGCCTCCGCAGGTTACTATTGACTTGAGGCAAATGACTGTTGGCTACCATGTTTTATTGTGATAAATTAAGCAATTATGACCTCAATATTTGCAGGCCATTTGAGGCTTTATAACACTGAATCCATCTCTGCATAGAACAATACGAAGTATAAAGTTATTGCTTAATAAGAATTTGTGGAGTAAACAAACGACATTCTGTTATAAAATGAAAATCATACGCCCTTTTTCACATGAATAATACTTAATTATGTACAAATGGCAAAATAGATAAGTTTACAAGCGACCGGTTTAGGACAAGTTTAGGATATCGAAGGACAGGAAAAAACACACCTATAGGCTGCTAACCTCGTAAGGCGAAAAGCATCTGGCATTTATATTGTCTTTCCGGCACAGTATTGTCGTTTAATCCTTTTTCTTCTAATTATCTGTCAAATTGTTAACAGTGTTGCCATTTAAACTACTCTTTTTTACTAATAATGAAAACTTAAAAGTTAAGACAGCCGGTCGCACTAAAAATGTTATTGAATAGTAGGTCCACTAAATAACATTACTTTGGTTCATATATAGCGGTTGGCTTGCTTTCAACGAATATCGATTTTATCGGCGGTGTGCTATCACTCCTAATTCTTGAGGAAATTTGCAACTTATCACGCTGCACGTGGTTTCATTATTATTACAAAGTGACCACTAAAGGTGTGACAACGGAAATATTCCTCCCCTCACCGCACTCATGCCTTAGGCGATGACTATCTCTGACAGTCAAATAAAAAATATTCAGATAGATGATATGGTAATATTGGTGCAAACTAAAACAGACACAAAAGGTGTGGCCTGCAACGCATAACCAATCAATTGTAAACTGATCTAATTGACCACGTGTACTTTAAAAAAAATCACAATTGAATTGCATTATATTAATTTTTTATACATTAAAGTCCCCTTAGTTTCGAACTTTTTTAATGATATAATGAAGGCATTATACAACAAAGGGAGTGGTACAAAGAGTCATACATCTATTACACAAATTGTCAAAAGTTTTTAACAAAAGTAAGGCTTATGTCCTTGACTAAATTGACTTTTCAAATCAATTTTGAAATAACCTTCTAAGGCCTCGAATACATAAAAATGTACATAACATGTGAAGTAATTCAGAGCGAGACAATATTATTCCTATGATCACATAAACGCCCAGTGGACATTACAATGAAAATATCGTATTCAGCTTTAGCGGCTACATATTAGAATGACCATACTATCCCTACACTTTAAAAAATCCCGATTGCCTTTTTCATACAAATCTAAGGTCATATTTTATTTGCTATATTTAGTACATTGGGCGTTTAACGATTTTCCCAATGTATTATGCTGGGTTTTATGGAGGTTAATTTTGTAAAAAACAACTATTGCGATAATTATTAATACAAAGATTAATTAAGAGAAATTCCTTTGATCCGGCTGAATTCGAACCAGCGTCTTCAGCATACCAGGCCGATGCTCTCTCAACTACCAACAACCACCGGATAGAAAGCATTTTTCTTAGTGTTCGATCTTTGTATTAATAGACAACATAAAAAAACATTGTGATATTCACTAAACTTCATATAACACTATTGCGGTCAAAATACGTAGTTTTAATTTAAAAAGCGACTTAAAATGTAAATAATAGACAATGTTCGTGTCGTAAATAAAAAATACATTTGATTAGTTGTTTTTTAAACTCCGCATATGCAAATCGTACATGTTTGTTAACCATCGAGTATATAACTTGAAATAGAGACGAAATGTCATTCAATTTGTTTGACAACTATTATGCCAAATCATTACGATGACAACTGCGCTCCGATTGGCCAGCCCGAATTCAAAACAATTGACGAGTGTTGTCAATTGTTTCACTTCAAATCGACCAGTTTAACTTGAGCTTTGCTATAATGGACAATAATTGAAAAATTACATATTTAATAGCCGATGTACATAATATGATTCCGTTCGTTTTGTAATTAGATGTTTTGCTGGTTTTCCCATACCACCGAATGGAACAAGCCCCCATAGGTACAGATATTATCTTTATTACAATAAATACAGAATATTTTTCAGGCAGTTGTTGGCGCTGCACTATTTCAGCTTTCTAATTTCTGATTTCAGCGCAAACTAGAGTTGATATTTAAAAGTGATATAAGGCCCATTTGCCTGATGAGTTGCCAGGGTTGGATGGCCCTTATTTCGTCTCTATTTCTGGTTATATACTCGATGTTGTTAACCCATCACATATCCAAGAGACATACGGTTTCCCTAACGTTTTTGGTACTATAACGTTCCAGAGCCACACGATATCTCTAATGCGCAGCTGTGTTATCATCCACCATTTTATTTTATTTATAAAAAAATTGTAAAATTAAAAAAAAGATATACCAAAACTGTTAAGGACACGTGTGTCTCTAGAACGTGTGACGAGTTAACTTTAGCGTATGACATACTGTACTCACATCCCTGAGTGTTGATGCCTACAAATATAATTTTATAGACGATTCTTCATAACTACAAAGTTTGTTTAAATTGTATATTAAGCACATCGTATTGCTAACGTTTTTCTCATAAAATTATTTATTAAATGCTTCGTAGTAATTGCATCTCCTTTTGAAACATCCACTCCGCAGCGTAAAGATGGTTTTATAGCATATTTATTACAAATAAGGGTCAATCTCCACTTGTCAGTACTTATCAGCACCGAATTCAGCTACAAGGGTGTCTTAATGTGTAATATTCTTACATACTTCACGAACAATATCAATAACATCAGCAAATAACTTTTACCAAGACTAATTGGTCGTAGTTAAGCAAAAAGGATCCAATCCACAAAATTATCAAAAAATGAGTTATATGTACCAAACGGTACCTGAATTGCTGAATTTGAAATTGCTGATCTAAGTGTTGGACAACCCTTAGATCAGCAAAAAAATCCGACATATAAATGTGCATTGGAATCTTTTTGTTTAATTACGTACATGTAAATCTAAAACGTTAAAAGTCACTTTAAGAAAACTAGTCCGTTAAACACCTTATTTAATTTGTAATTTGGAGCACGCTGTGATCGATCAGGGGCTTGGCCGATATCACGCGAGTGCAAAAACTGGTTTTTGTGTTGCGTTTCACGATATTTGTTGTTTTGCTTTTTTGCTACCGACACATTCAAAATTATTTCGTAATGATATACACATTATTCTTTTGTTGATTTTGTCAATTCTATACTTGTAAGTAAAATATGTTACTTTTCTGTCGTGCACATTTATAGATTTATAAGAGGACTGTGCAGCACCCAGACAAACCGATGTAGGTTTAGGAGTGTCAAGAAATCACGTAATTCAATATTTTTTAAGTGTTTGGAGAAATAAATTAAAAAAAATAATAGCAAAGAGCCGCAGTAACGAATACAATACAGTATAGTGACAAATAGGGTGATTTGCATTAATATTACAAGTGGTTGATGATAACTTTACCATCACAGTCAGCCATAGAACTTGTAATGGGTCCGAAATATTAGTTTGTTTGGAAAACTAATAAGATACGCAATTTAGATCCCGAAAAAAGAGTTACATTTGTAACTTTTTGTCGTCAAAATTGCAAAGCCCATTCCTGTTGTGGCGCACATTATAACTTTTAACGGTACCATACAAGATGGAGCGAAACGCTACCGCTCATGCAACTGAGGCCACACCTCGAGATCGTAAGATCAGTGACGTCGGCGCCCGCGAATCACCCGGCTCGCGTCACGCCATCGCTACCGCAGCGAGACCCAGCTTGTGTTCTCCGCTGCGGCGGCCCCCTCGCCGCACACTCTGCTTGCTTCTTGCTTTAGAGACTGACGAGCACGCATGCTAATTTTTGTACTGCTTTACATTACAAAGTTAAGTTCCTTTTCATTCTTTTCAATAATATCATTAATTCGCTTCCGTGTATCTTTCTTCCTTCCATTTCGCTTTCTTACCATAGTATCAAGTGCACGTATTTGGGGTATAGGGGTAACAAACCTACTCCTAGTGTTAATTTCTTCCATTCATTACATTATAAGCATACGTGCGGTGCTGATAAACTCCTGATCAATGACGTTTGACCCTAACTACAACTTACTCTAAGTTGTTCAAAGCTTAGAAATTATGACTTTTTGGTATATGCCGAATTCAATTCATTTAAGGCATTTAATTAGCATCTTTTTCAATATTGAATGTGAAGTTTTGGTATTCAAATAAGACTGTATGTAACTTGTGGTAGACCCTATATGCCAACAATGAACCGAATTCCACTATACAGGTTGTAACAAAACTGAAATAAAACTGTAAGGGCTTTTTTTACACTCAAGCATTTCTTCTATTTCTCGATTCCTATTTAACTACTTTTGCTATTATACCGATTTAAATGAGCTCTAATAGACATATAATTTTCACAAAATTAAGTAATTTACACTCCAATATAAATAACAAAACACAAAATCGTGTAATGTAATAATTTGTTTCGTAAAAAAAGACAAGTTAATTCCATTAGTGCCAAAGGAACACATTATTGTCCCCTTCAAATTAACAACGTCATAGGTAATTGCCATGTGGTTGGTCCGATTGATTCTTACTACATGACACGTGATATTAAAGCCGCGTGATTGGCCAATTTGAATTTAGTGCTTTATATTACGTGATATTAAAGCCGTATGATTGACTTTTTGTATTTCTTTAAATTTTCTACAGAATGAAGTGCTTTTAAAACATTGGTACAATAAAAGCGATATAGTTCAATAAAAGAAATAAACCCTTAAAGTTTCATTGCAAGTTCTGAAACATCGTGTACTTAGCTAATCTATTGTACCTTCTGTCTGCCGACGAGAATATTAGTGTACTCCTTGTAGAACCTCGGGAAAAATTGCAACGCGAGGTATATTAACCCTAAGTACGCAGCGATAGCCAGTGTGAGTATCAGATCGAACACTGCCGGTTTTACACTGTGGAGGAAGACATACTTATATGATATACTGTGTTTTTATATATACATGTCGGAAACGGTCATGAGTACGGACGAAACACTGCGAGACAGAGGCGCCACCTGCAGGTTACAGAGTGTATCGCGCGCTCCCTCTACCGGTGGACCTCGACGAAGTCTGGGTGGGGAACGGTGGTGGTAGACGAGAGAGGACACAATGGTGGTTGGACTTTCGGGCTGCCCACACGTTACCGAGAAACTCGATCGTTAAAATTAATAGAAAGTACAAGTTGTTATTCGATTTCATAGTGATTAAAATATACAGTGTTACTATTCAATGTAATCTCATTGCACGAGCCCCAAATCTGCTCAAGCGATGTCTGAAGATTCAGTTCAAAACCCTGACGGTTCCGACACACATAAGGAACTTCGCATTTTTATTTAAAGTGGAGATGAAAAAGATTCGATTAAACGCATCACATAGGCAAAGTTACCACCTTGTATAATTTGCAAACACATTTGTAGACATGGTATCTTACCTATAAACATAAAGGGTGGCCCTCGTGGGCCCGTACAGCGTATACTCGGGTTCGCGCTTGTCCACCGCGTGGCTGCTTACTGTCACTTCCATGTATCGGGATAGGGCTCGTTCGAGAGCTCCAGTCACGCCTGTCACAATCAAACAAATGATTCAGAATCGTTAGAAAAGTTTTTTCGTGTAGATTCAGTAAGGAGTTATACATTTAGGAAATGAAACTATTTTATTTAAATCCGGAAAAATAGTTTAAAACGCGAAAACCTAAGAACTAGCTATACATTTATCACGATTTTTAAAAATCGTGAAAAATGGGACTTGATCACATGACCACGCTGTACCGTAGCGCTGCTCTGACCAACTGAGCTACAGGTCAATAATAACAATAAACATTCATTTATTAGTGAAAATGTAGGTCTTATAGAAGCTGACAAGTACAAAATAAGTATAGTTTCACTGTGTCCGTCCAAACATTAGGTGGCTGCGCCGTTGTGTGTCATTTAAGTTCCTCTATATTTATTTGTTACATTTATTAAATTATGACATTTATTTTTATGTAATTTTCTCACCGCGCTCGAAACGCATTCTGTGTTAGAATCCTGCAACACTATCCTCCCTCTCACCCACTCCCCGTTACCTCAAAGCTGTCGTCAGAGTTCAAAAACTTGAGGCAGCAAATGTCCGCCAGTGATACTCAAAATAATTTATAAAAAGCTCATTCAATAATATTAAAATCCACTTAAACTTACATTCACAACCAAAAAAATGTAGAAATTGTAGTGAGACCATAAAAACCTTGGACATTATATTAAACTCAATTACTGGATGCGCAGGTCCCTTCACGAGGTAAGTCCTGGCCCCTCCATTAGGCATACAAATATTAAAGATATATTGTACATTCACTCACATGCACTTCGACAGACTACACCAGGTGTAACATGTTTTAAGTTATCGAGTTGTCGAAGTCCTGTGTTTTTGTTAAAGATCCATTGTACTGGATTTTTCGGCATAGTGCACCGCCAGTGACATCTAGTGAGAAATTTTAGAACGTTCTTCACCGCAGACGTTACCTTTACAGGTGCCTCGCACTGAGGTTAATGTCGCCTTTTGATGATATGTATTACTGAGATTGTTTGTGAAACCACTAGTTGTATTATGGTTATTAATACAAATATCGATACAATTATACTATTTTTAAGTACACAAGTAAAAAAAATTGAATGGACCCTACCGCCGTTAGGTAAGTTGGTAGTGACAATTTGCGGGGCCCTTGACTGTGACGACAAATAATTGTACCATAGCTTCACCGACGACTCCTCTACACTCTGAAATTTAAAATAGAATGGTAAGACCACGGACTCGGAATTATTATCAACACATATACATCCAACTGCTGGGCACAGGTCTGCCCCATGGGACTTTAATCTCAAAACCTTCTCCAACGTGCAAGTTTCATCACGATGTTCAACAGTTTGAACAAACAAGTGGTCATTAAACTATGCTGCAGTGGGAATATTTAACTTAAACTTATGCAAAGCTTACACACTCATAGCCCCGCACTAAGAAAACTCTGTGTCACGGGTGCCATGGGCACACATAGACAACCAAAAATTATAATTTGAACCCAAACTCACAAGAGAAATAAATATAGGCAACACAAATATTTCTCCCGGACCGGGAATCGAACCCGGGTCCTCTGCGTGGCAGACCAGCATGGTAACCGTTCGGCCACGGAGACAGTAAGTTTGTTTTGTAAATACGAATAACTTGTTTAGCCTCCTAAGCAAATTATTGTGGGATAAGAGTCAAACGCCCAATGTATTAAACATAATTACATTCTTTAGGCCCCAGGCATGCACGTTCTCTCAGTACAAAATATTTTAAATGTACGATAGATCACAGAAGATTTTATAACTGTCAAATTAGTTTTTTCTGTCTTAAGGAGTTAGTGCATCGTAGCGACATCTCTTTAAAATCGTCTAAACTAATTTGTTTGCCTGAGTTATCGAGTGGGAGACCATAGTGTTAAACTGTTTAGATAATGAATTAAGGCTTCAAGTCCCTCTTCCCCGGTGTTCTTATTACCACACCTGACCTTATAATTAATTGTTTTTATTACATATATATATTTTATTTCTTAATATAGAATGTAGACCTAATGGTTGTCCGCATTAGGTCTACATTCTAGATTAAGATTATAAATTGTATCTCAACATATACTATTGAATGTAAACTATTTTGTACATTTATTAAAATAAAATAAAAATAAAATGCGCAATACATAGACGCGCGTTTACAGCGCCTCTAAATTTGTGAACGTGTGCAAAAGATTACGCGTTTGAATCGCATTAACGCGCGTCGTCAGCGCGTATAAAATGGCTCTAAAAGAGTTACCTATCAGAAGTCCGTTACGTTTTCCAGAAATAACGTTTGCTAGAATTTTCATAACCTCGAAAGTAATTTTGAGAGGATAATGTTTTTCTTTGAAACCTAACTTCACCTAACCTTACCGAAAGTAATCGTGTCTTTGCTATAAACATCCAACATATCCTGAAAGAACAACAGTTTTGTTACAATACGGTTTTCGGGGTAATGAAAATTCTAACAAACATTATTTCGGAAAAAATAAATTCGTGTTAGTGATAGGTTACCCTCTAAGGGACAAGATTATCGACAAAATTGAGAAGGCGACTGACCAGCGCCTCGTCGTAAAGAGCGGCGTGTTCGCTATCGGCGTCGGCTTGCCGCCGGGGCGTCTCGTCGGTGAGGTTGTAGATGTGCGCCGCCAGCGCCCGCGCAATCAGCGCCACGTTGGCCGCCAGGTGCCTGGCGCCTGCCTCCGTCGCCGTGTCCAGCACCGAGCTGCGCGACGGCTCTTTGTGACTCTGCGGAGCCGGACACGGCACCAGATCAGAACACAATATTAAATGGTACAATTTCGATTTGGTATTTCTGATTTGTCCGAACACTCTTGGCGACATCGAGTATATAACCAGAAATAGAGACGAAATAAGGGCCATCCACCCCTAGCAACTCATCATTATAGGAAAGCTCAAGTTAAACTGGTCGATTTGAAGTTAAACAATTGACGACTCTCGTCAATTGTTTCGAATTCGGGCTGGCCAATTATGTTGTAACGTTTTATTTATCGTTGGACGACTGTCGCATCTAGCATGTTCCCATATCACGACTATCTGTCGTGACTGTTTCGTGGAGGTTTATTTTATCGTTGAACGACTGTCGTATCCAGCTTGTTCCCACTAGATCGTGACGACAATTTATCGGTTCACGGCAGCCACCTTGTCGTTTGCACGACGTCACATATTTATCGTTTTATTTATCGTCGAACGACTGTCGTTCTAGCTCTTCCCATTTTACGAGTCTGCCGTCGTAACGTCAAAAAAGTGAACGACAGTTTATCGTGTTGTTCTATGTGTGAACAACTTCGTTTAAATATACAAGGCACCACACTTTGAACTGTACGACTATCTGTCGTCAGGACATAATGGGAACGCGCCCTTACAGTAAAACTATCGTGTTTGGGCTCATTAAAATAGTTCTCGACGAGTTGTCAGCTTACATAATTTTAAATTTTAATTTTTTAATTTAATCTACCCTAGTGTACAATACCGTAGACTATAAGAACAGCCTACCTGTAACGCGCTGAGCGTGAAAGCAGTCATTCTTCGGATGCTGAATCTCTCGTGTTGCCAGGCCAGCACTTCGTCGGCCAGGTTGATCTTCTTGTGATTGACAGGCGCGCCCAGCAGGGTTCGAAGGTTATCAGCGGCGCCACCCGCAACCGGCGGCTTCGACACGTGCATCGTCAGGGACGGCGCCGAAGATATCGAGTCCAGGCACATTACGAACGAAACATCCTGTAATAATAATATTTAATATTGCAAAAAAAGAATTATTTGTAATATTTTAATTATACATTGATTTGATTGTTTTCGTTTGTTAATAAATACCCCGAAATCATTAACAATTAAAAATCATTAAAAATAAAAAATCATTAAAAATTAAAAATCATTAAAAATTAAAAATCATTAAAAATTTAAAATCGTTAAAAATAAAAAATCATTAAATATTAAAAATCATTAAAAATTAAAAATCACTAAAAATAAAAAATCATTAATACAGTATATTTTTGATAGCAGTACAGCTCTGATGTCCACTACCTAAATCGCGGCTAAGTGACAAATGGTCAAATATCCGTTTTAAATATCATAAGATAGAGAACAAGACTGTCTTTTAAAAACAGTCAAAATTAGTTAACGTGTTCGACTATAGCTCAATCAAATGCAAATATCATTAAGCAATTTCAATATTCCAAAACTGGGTTATGGTTTATTTATGATATCTCAAAAAAATATTTTGTCACTTACCCGTTTGGCGTTTTACTTAGCTTGTAAGAGTCCGTCTAAGGAAGTACTACCGCCTTATGTCTACCGCCAAGTAGTAACGTGAGCATTACTGCGTTCCGGTTTGAAAGGGTAAGAGTGCTGGTGAAATAACAGGCACATGGGACTTGTCAACTTATGTCTCAGGGTGACGACGGGCGCAAAGGCGGTGCCCCTAAGATCTTTGCAATTTGAAGCTCTGAGTGGCACTGCAACTGTTATGGACAGGCGTGTAGCTTACCACCAGGCGCACGGCTTGTTCCTCCCGCCACTTATTTAAAAAAAAAAGCTTGTTCATGTAGATTCAATTCATATATAATATATAAAACTAGAAACAAAACTGGGTGACGAAATGCTTTTATAGATTTCTCATAGATGGCCCTACGGGTAAAAAGTCGTTAAAAACCAGATCCGACAAACAAGCACATAAGAGGAATTCGTGAGGTCCGCTAGTTCATTCCGTGGCTTAGTTGGCATATTTCGCTATTGTATTTTTTATCAGTAAGGAACTGTTTTTGCTTATAATAATTTAATATAGTTTCTATTACATTGTGATACAAGCTGTTTGTACCCTCAAAAAATAAAATAAATAAATAGCGTCTGGCACAGTGTTCAGAAGACGTCGGTTCGAATCCAGCCGGATCAAAGGAATTTTTTCTATGTGTTCGACATCTCTAGCCAGGATTGGTAGCTTTAAAGTTACCTAACTGGGTGACGAAACACTTTCATGGATTACTCATAGATGGCGCTACGGCTAAAAAGTCGTAGAAAAACCAAATGCAAAGATCCGACAACTAGCACATAGAAAAATCGTGAGGTCCGCTGTTTCGTTCCATGGCTTAGTTGGCATAGCGTCTGCCACGGTTTGCTGGAATACATCGGTTCAAATCCAACCGGATCGAAGGGATTATTTCTAAGTGTTCGATCTTTACATTACATCTATATTTCATACATGTAAAATTGAATTATAAATATAATTAAAAAGCTAAAAAATCATCTACGATGATACATCTTGAGCTGTTAATGTTAATGAATAAACGAGGATGTGGTCGCTTATAGACAGGACATCAGAGACCGTCTAAAGGCTAACCCTACTTACTTGTAATAAAGAAGCGTCAGTGGAATCCAGTTGCTCTTCAAGCCACTTCTTAATGGCAAAATAATTCAGCGAGTGTCCGGAGGAAGACAAGACAAAGAGAAGTGACGCGCCCCCACGAACTGACGCGGAGGAGTAAAGGCGAGAGAAAATACGAGCTAATTCCAGTACTGCCACAGCACCTGATGCGTTTGAGTCAGCGCCTTGAGATAGTTCCTGAAAAATTAGGGGTTTATCACCTATAGCAGTATGTCTTTAACGGACTTGAAAAAAGGAGGTTCTCAATTGGACTGTATTTTTTTCGAGTTTACGTTACGGAATTACTCCGACAACTCTTAATGTTTTATAATAAAACTGGTACGGGCGCTAATGTTCAACCCCAACTTAAAATACGCCTTGTATAATAATGTTAATGTACTGCCACTATACCTATTTCTGCCGCCAAGCAGTAGTGTGAACATTACTGTGTTTCGGTTTTGACGGGTAAGAAGTGAGACTTGTCAACTTATGGCGCAGAGGCAGTGCCCCTCAGATCTTTGCGATTTAAAACTCTGAGTGGGACTACAAGTGCTATGGATAGGCGTGTCGCTTAACACCAGGCGCACGACTTGTTCGTCCTGTCACTAGGTATCATAAAAAAAAGTAATGTTATAATACCATGGAATTGTCATGACTCAATAAAATAAGCTAAATTTTTTTTGTTTATTCTTTTTCGTTGGAAAGCTACCTCAGTAGTGATTCCATTTAAATTGGAAAGAAACATTCTGCATCTAAGAGTGGCAAAAAAGGGGGCGAAACTGATGTATTAAATTTCACCCACTTACTAAAGTTTAAGTTATGTACATATAAAAAATAGGCGCGCGTTTGACCTCCATCTCACCTGATGGAACATGACGATCAGGTGGACGATGGAGCATGCTCACGTAAATAATGCCTATTCGCTCTTGCCTTGAAAAGGCCCAAGTTAATACCGTTTAGGGAACGAGTCTGTAGGCAGGGAAATAAGTAAAGTAATAAATTAAAAGTTTTGAAGTCTTATAACGAACAAGAACAATCCTCAAGTTTATACATTGAACACACCAAGCTAACAGGAGGGCCTTTGTATCGTTGCAATATGAGTAAATTTCGAGGTGCTCAAAGAATCAACCTTGGTGTGCTCGTTCCTGATCATCATCATTGTCAACTCTTTATACGTCCCACTAATAGGTACAGGTTTGGAAGGAAAGTGTGTGGGCCATACTCTGCCACACTGGCCCAGTGCGGGTAGGGTATATCGCGCAGGTTTTTTATCAAGATCTTTTCCTTAATCATTAAGGGAAGTATTGCTACTAAGCAAAGGTAATTGATGCCTTAACATTCGTTCTAAAGTTAAGTGAAAATGGGCAGGTCATATAAACAGATACAGAGATAAAAGGTGGACAACGACTAGAGTCAAGTGGGATGGTCCACGAGACTCGCGAGATGGGCCGAACTGGTGAGGATGGCAGGCAGAGACTGGCTGCGTGTCGCGGAGAACCGTTAGCATTGGGGGGTTATTGGAAGAGGCTTTTACCCGAAGGGGGTCCAAACAAACACCATAAATGGTTCACGTTTAAAAAACAATTAATCTTTAATCTTATAATTTTCACATAATCTCATAATTCACTTTCAATAATATAACTTTTTCGCCTCACTAGCTCGGAAAGGCTTTCTTTCTTATTAGGAATTTAATAATAGAAAACAAAAATTGAAGGAACAAATGGCGCACTTCTTTAGTGTCGTACCATAATCTATCGATAAATCATTATCGACATGCAAACATTTAATTAAAGTATATCAATATTCCGTATGGGAATATTATTAGGTTATTATGGGAATATCCGGGAATGTCACATGAAATTTTGAATGTATTGTTTTGCGTTTACAAATACTCAAATATTACGAAAAGTGAATTTGCACAGAAAAAAATAATATTTGTAATTTGAGAGTATATAAAAAAGAGAAAACTTTGAAATATAAATCCTATACATTTCCAACCTCAAGATTTATATTTTCATAGAGTAATTTTTAAACAGATTCCAAATAGTGTAAGCTTTTTTGTATTTATGCATTGGTATAGAATTAATATCAGTGACTGATTTAAGTGAATCTTTAATACTTCCATTAAATTTTGGAAATAAATTAAAGTAGTAATATGATCAATAATAATATTATTATCATACGTTTATTTACTTAAAACATGGTATAACAGGAGATGTAACAAGAGACAGTGTATAAATATGTTTCGCATATATTAAATAGCATGCAAATGTCTGATTATACAATGTCAATTGACTACTATTGGCCGAGCGCCTTTGATTTGTGCAGAAAAATCGACACTTCTCCGAAGTGAGACAAGCAGTCACGAGCGACTGCGAGTTGTGACAAGCCACGTCAAACGAGCTCTATACACGTCAGCGCTCGCCTTCACACGGTTCGGCTCGCCTTCAGGCGAGTGACCCCGAACGATGGCAAGGCAAGGCAAGGCACTACGTGGCATTGGCCTTCACCCGGCAACGTTAGACCAACATGGTCTTTGTATTGCCGGCTTTATAAAATAAGAATTTTTAGTAGTTAGAGTTGTCAGTGCGAAATAATCGGTAACGAGTGGATAATTTTGTTTTCAGGAACTGAGAATGCCCAGTAAATGAGTCGTGTTTAGTCTAAATTAAATACAAAATTATTTACCAATAAACCTAATGATGGAATTGCATTATCATGTAATGTAGTTACATTCAAAGTTATGTTAAAATTTGACTCTTCAAAATGAAGCGAACAAACGAAAATGGTCTTTGATTCAATGTATGATTTTCAACCATTCTATTTTCTTTTTTTATTTGTAGGTAAACTTGAAATAGTAAAAATAATAATAATAAAATAATAAAAACCTCGTAGTGAATTATTTTAATAACAGAATATCGATAATATGTACGCTTCCAAGAACAACACTATTTCAAAATAATTGTTAACAACAATCATCAAAATATACAAACACACAGGCAATCTGCAGAAACCAAAGCAACATTTGGCAAGATTCATGAATAAACTACATAAATATGTCTAATTACATGAGATATTTGGGCTTTTGTGTGATTTATAGACAGAAAAATAACACGTGCCTGTACAATGTTACATTCGGTCGATCTTCGCTTTTTCAAATGCTACATCCCGTAATGCTGCAGCGACGAATTTTTATTAATACTTAATTGTTTTCGATGTCAATATTTTTGTCCATTTTATTACAATACATGCGAATAATTCAATAAAACACTTGGAAAATATTTGTTTTGACATTTGATGTACTTCCCTTTGACAACCGTATCATGTACATCATATACTGCGAAATGGACACAGTTGGCATTTAAGACGTCGTTACGTACTTTCGATTCCCGTGTTTGACACAGACCAATGTAATGCTATCTCTTTTGGCTTAAGACGGCACGCAATAGTTAAACAAAGACAACAACATGTTTATGTTTTCGACGTCGAAATGCAACATATATGTATATATAACGTCTGATTGATATATGTCAACATAACATGTCCTTTAGTATCCATAGTCTAGGGTGCACCTATGTAACTGTTTCTTTCGATAAAAAAAAAGATAATGTCACGTTTAACTACGCAATTTGTCGTGCATTACTTATTTATGTAATATAAATCCGTTGGTATATTTTATTCTTATTATTGTTGACATTAAACTGACAATGATAACAAATTGTGTTTATCAAATTATTTCAATTCGTCGAAGAACTAAAATAATTTCAATAATCACTTAATCACAGAAAATAAAAGTACAAGCAAGAATAAAAATTGATGAGGTGTAAATTCAGAACGTATCCGAAGATAAACTTTTTCTATAGTTCAACTGTTTTTCTTTCATCTACCATTTTCGTCGCTATAGTGCACTGTGATTCCCCCATAGGCCATAAATCAAAAAAAATCATTGGCTTATCCCGGTTAGATCAACTCACTAAGTTAGTAACTAGTTAACAAGCTTCCAAAAACTATAAATATCAATGTAATTAGGTCACGTTATCATTCACTTTTGTGCATCGGAAGTGAGCGCATCGCGAGACTAATTATCACCACGTGTGAGTCATCGAAACTTAATCACTTTGTTTTTGAGTGTCACTATTCCAAATCAAGTGTTTACGTGTTGTGAAAGCATGGAGATCCAAGAGCATGGTATGTACTTTTATTATCAATTTTTTTTAATTTTTTTTATGCATACTTTTTTTTATATAATTTTTTTATTGAAGGCAGTTTTTTGGTGAAAATTTTTGGCATAACTTAATTTCCTTTAGACCTACAACTTTTGGCTGCGCTGAGCTGCACCTGAGGTGTATGGTTTTTGGGATATAATATTAATAAGACGAACTTCGAAGAGTTCGCTTTAGAGACGGCTCGGCAGTTAGTTGCCGAGTATCCGTGGTATAACATGCCTGCTTCCGTTCACAAAGTTCTAATTCATGGTGCTAATGTTATAGATTACGGTTTGTTGTCAATCGGAGAGTTGTCTGAAGAAGCAGCTGAAGCGACTAACAAATACATCAAGTCTTTTAGAAAAAATCATACGCGTAAAATGAGTCGCATTGTGACCAACACAGATTTAGTAAATAGGCTGCTTCTTCATTCAGATCCCTTCATAACAGGTCTACGAAAGTTACCTGTTAAAAAAAAAGGTGTACTGTCAAAAGCTGTATTAGACTTGTTATGTATTTAAAGTTAATATTGTTGAGATTTAATGTATTTTGGTATAATTTGTGTTTTGTTTGTATTTTGTAAAATGAACTTTTTTATGTATTTTTATTGTTTTAATTTATTCATTTGTGGTTATTGTTAATACAAATAATCATTATTTACACAGTTTTACCATTAAAAGTCGCAGTATAAAATGTTTTAGATACATCGTCTAAAAACAAAATTACTGCGAGACATTTTTACACCTAAATATTATCAAATATTTTTTTAAATGTATAATTTTATTAATTTACGTTTACCTAATCATATTTTAACGTAATAAAATAAAAAAAAAATAATAATTTCGGAGTTACGTATTTATGACCGCCTTAGTATGGAGCGTGAATCACCGTGTAGTGAGGTGAAAAGTTGTGAGTTTCGCTCGGTAGCAGTTGTTTTGCGTGTCGTGTCTTGTAACCCTCGCTACGCTCAGGAATCTATTTTTGAACCACGAGCGAAGCGAGTCTTCGCTCCCTTCGCTTGCTCAGGTTTCAATACAAGCACTCGCGTCAAACAACAGCTTTGCAGGCTTACATAACAAATAACTATTATTACAATATTATAATTATAATTTAAATTCAATTAAGTTATGTTTATTACGTGTCACAATTTTTATTTTATAACAAATACGTCATATTTGTTCGAATTTAAATAAAGCATTATTACTTTTATTATATTGCTAATAAAGTACTGACGCGTTTTATTGAACGAAGGATACTCACCGGTACAACTCCTGCGGAGTCATAATGCGCGGCGATAACGATGGTTTGCGCAGCACCGGACCGGCCAGCCAGCTTACCGTGCAGTGTTAGCGACTTAGACTCCAGTTTTTGAGGCGCTGATGATGATACCACTGTTGATTACAATTATTTCAAAATTGGTAAGTTGATCAGACCAAATCCGGAAGCAATTTAAACTTCATTCAAAGTTTAAAGACAATTCTATCAAAGTGGTACCATTATAAATTTGCAGTAATGGTAGTAAATGGATGAACAGATTTTTTGACACGTCATTGGTTCGAATGTCTGTGGCGGCAAGTGCCTGAACCGACCCCTGTGTTTACGTCTATACAGGTCCATCTCTTCCAGAAGCGTTGGAATCTCAAGGTATTTAGCTAGCAATAATAAATAACAGAAATTCACTTTGAGGTACATGAGACAGTGAAAAGTTCATTTGGTCCTAACGAGAATCGAACCCGGAACCTCCTCCTAATCCAGTGCCCATAGTATAAACCGTTAAGGCATCGAGGTCGTCAAACAAATTTTTCTATTACTACGCTATCATTTTTACTGTTTCTATGTTATGTTTAATACACTCATCAAGTGTCTAGTGATCAAGCACGTTTTTGCCAATTACTGAAAATCAGGTTTTTTTAATAAATTTTTTATCCAAAAAAATCTATTAATTTTTTTGTACAAAACAAATCCATTTGACAGAAAAAATTCCATTAGTATTGCCAATTACTGAAATTCAGGTTTTTTGATGAAAAATTTATTAAAAAACCTGAATTTCAGTAATTGCCAAAAACGTGCTTGATCCCTAGACACTTTTGATGTGTATTTTCATTAAATGATTTTAATCCTAGGTAAATAAAAATATAGGCTATTGGAAAGTGGATAATTTGTTTCAACTGCACTTACCAATCTGGTATCCATTTGAAGAAACGGTTTTGAACATGGCTTCCAAAGCAGTGCCTGACCGATCATCAGTGATGAAACTATGCTGCAAGTCTTTGAGAATGTCTTCGAAATCTGGAGTCCACTGTGCGAAGTACACTGGAGCACTGATTTCTTGTTGGATCATTGCCATTTCCAGGAGTTGGATGTGCTGGGTACAATATCATAAATTAGTATATAATTCGACCTCAGGCCGAATACCGGATATTCGGCCAAAGTTCTGTCACCTTATCTATTTGTGCTGTCAAGCTTATTGCTTGACAGCTCACATTACTGTGTTCCGGTTTTGAAGAACAAGGGTCCTGATGAAATTACAGGCATATCGGACTGGTCAACTTATTTCTCAGGGTGACGGGCGCAGTGGTAGTGCCCTCATGATTTGAACCTTTGAGTGGAACTGCAACTTCTATGAACTGGCGTGTCGCTTACCGCCAGGCGCACGACTGGTTCGTCCCATCACATATTATCATAAAAAAAAGGAAATTATTAACTTGTGATGAAAAATATTTTTGTACAAAGAAAACAATACAGTGTTTTAATTTTCAAGTTTACAATTTAAATTAATGAAGGAAATAATTGATGAAATTCACTTTGTTTCACTGTCTTTCGAATAATGTTATTTTGGTTTGCAAATTATAAGTACTTGTTGATTTTGTTAGCCTTTATTTAGCCATGACTAAAATTATAATTTAGTATTTTTCATTTAATTTATTACTTAAAGCTTTGTCATTTATACTGAAGATACCTGATTAACTCGTAGAATATGCTTCTATATTTACTGGCCAGCATTTCATTCAAATACTTGTATTTCAATTAGTATCTAAAAATGTATTTTGCAATTCGTATTTTAAATACTTTCCTGGTGTCCAGTTAGTGGTATTGATTGTATTTTAAATTAATCAAAATATCGTATTTGTTTTTTGTTTTTAAGAATCGGAATAAATATATCGGATAAAGTAACTTAACTTTTCTGAGCTGACGGACTAAATTTTTCTATTCCTCTCCAAAGATATATAAGCCGGCAAGTCGAATCAATCTTTCAACTTTTCGTGGATATTGTCGCGAATGGCTACTTACACAGCAGGCTCTTGCGCTTGTAATGTATTGATACTGATAGGGTAAGGTTAATTACTTTAGGTTTCCATGTTTTAAAATAAAATATCTTAAGTTATGTATTATTATTAAGTCTCAATGTCCTAAAATAAATATTAAATTACAATACTTCAACAAGTGACCGCTGAGTCATAAGCCGTTTTGTCTTGTTAATTAACACTGTCTCTGATTGTATTATAAAGTTTATTAATGTTTTCAAGACAAATAAATGAGTTTATTATTATTATCATCTATAATATTATTTTACGAGCTAGAAAAGACGACTTGCGTGTTTCAGAATACTACTAACGCCATCTAGCGGTAAGCGCGAATGAACAATGGGTGTTCTTGATATGGTTGTTACCAAAAAAAATTTTTTTTTTGTAAAGTAGGAATATCATCCTTCATCTCATCAACAATTTCCACTAACTACGTATAAGTGAATATTGAAGTGTATCAAGTGTACAACAATATTGAGTTAATAGGATTGAATTACTTTTGTTGTACTGCTCTGTTAGTCACAAGTCAAGGTGACTTAGTGGTTCATAATAATATTACAAGCTTAGTTTTTTATCAACTCCTTTACAATGTAAGTTAACAACAGCAGTTTTAATATAGTCAACGCAACTTAGAATAGATACAATACTTTTCACAGTACATTTACTCAAGTATTTTGTATTTCATTAAGAAAGAACATATCCAATAATATTAATCTTAGAAGTAAGTCCAAACTCAGGTACCACAATTTCTTTTAACCAGTAAACGATTCTTTATGGGGAACTGTATACGTTTTTACAATTAGATTATATATTAAGTTTATCATTTCCTAAGTTTAAAACTTACATTAAAAGTATTTCAATTGAAAAGTCATATTACAAAATTGAAGAGTATTTGTTAGATAAAGATGTATGGAAAGACAACATGAATCTAGATTTCACACAATTATGAGTCTAAGTGTATTCAATAGCATTTAAGTTTATTTGAAAAGAGCAACCCCTTGAGTTTCTTGCTCGTTCTTCTCAGGGAGGTCAGCATAGTGAACGAGGGGTAGCTTAAAAATGACGTTTTCAAGTTTAAAAATTTTACCTATGGAATAAATGATTTTGACTTTGACTTCTGCAAATTATGTTTCGGTATTAAGCCCTAGCTACGATTGTCGAGTCATACAGCTGAGTATAGGTCTCATTTTACAGAGGAAGTATGTATACTGTATATGACAATAAAAGCAATTCAGTTTTTGTCTAAGTTTTTTTTTCAATCTGGCGTCAACTATCATTCGAAGAGCTTTGTAAGTACTCATTGTGCCATCATGTAAAATTGAAGTTTGTATCCTACATTGCATTTCGCAACCAAATCTATCTACCACGCACAAAGCCCATTTAGATCCTAGCATTGATCATTTTTCGTGATATCAAGTGAAGAGATGATAAAATTGTGGATCTGGTGGAAAGCGACATTGCTATACATAACAGATGCAGATGCAATGCCACACTACACCCTGAGACATAAAGTTGACAAGTTGTTTGTGCCAATCATTTCACCAGCACTGTAATTCTTCAAATTGGAACGCAATAACCTTCACATTACTGCTTGCTGGCAGAAATAGGCGAGTGAAAGACAAACTCTCTCACAAGGAGCTTTAGCGCTGCTAAAAAACTTGTTGTATACAATTTGGGAAGTTTAATTATAGTATGAATCATAATTAGATATCCAAAATGTAAGCAAAGGGGATAACCGAACAAAAAAAATGCATTTAAAATAGTACTTTCCTATTTTGGATGATAATAAACATCTAGAACACTTTGTGTTAAGCTGTAATCTGAGAAAATATAGAAGAATTCAAATTTTGCAATATATAAAAGATGTTTAAGGTTGTAAATAATTTTATGACACTGGTAACGCAATTGGGTTCAAAAACATTTTTTGTACCCTTACTTTGTGGATGACACTCTTGCTTCGTTTCTCGAATCAAATGAGTTCTTGTCTCTGTTTACTAAATTATTGCGTATTGCTTTTACAACTTTTGTTTAGTGTTCATATTTTGTAATAGATAATTAAAATTGTAGAAAATGAGAACCTCGTCCTTGTCCAATTCCATTACAAATAGAAGGTTTAGCACACCTGCATTCTCACTTTGACAATAACATTACATGACCTTTCTTTGTTTACATTTTGGACATCTAATCATATTATTATAGTATTCAAGTTTCAAAAAATAAAATTTATAGATTATAATGGAACCTCTTTTTCCTCCTTGGTAAGCACTGTATCATTCTTAGGTAGCACGAGTAATAATGCTCCAGCTTTGTTTCTGATCTCAAGGAACTGTTCAATAGTGATGTCTTGAATACGCGCTACTACACAGTGCCGGGAGGTACTCCAGGATGTCAGGGAACGGCCTTCCAGGTTGAAACTTGCACTACGGCAACCTTAGAAAGAAATTCTTGACTCATTAACTATATTAAAATATTTTTTTATATTTTTAAATAATAAAATAAAATAAAAATAAAAATAAAAATCATTTATTTCAGACAATATACAGTCCA